ATCCGGCGAGTGCTGATTGAGTATCGCGTGAGTGCTGGGTCAGTGAGTACGAGTGCTGGGCGACTGAGTGGGAAGTATCGTCTGTGGTGGGTATTGGTGCCGGGTGAGTACCGGTGCCGGGTGAGTATCAGGTGAGTGCTGGCTAGGTGAGTGTAGGGAGCGAGTGTCGGGTTCTCGTCCCCCCCTCCCTTACCCCACGCGGGGGATCGGTCGTGGGGGGGGGGGGAGGGGGGCGAGTCAACTCAGCGGTCGTGTCGAGTTGCGCCTCATTACGCATTGAAGCGCACCCGCGTTTTGAGTCGCGCCAGCTTGGGAGCGCGGGCACCGGCTCGCGTCTCTCATCTCTCACCACCCCCCCCACCCCGCCTCTCATCCCCTTGCCTCTCACCCCCCACCACCACCACCACTCTGCCTCCGTCCTCTCGTCGCTCGCCCCCAGGCCCAGCCGAACGGGTTGCGACACAAACGTGACACCGACGCGGTGCAAGAGAGTGACTCACTCGCGTCCAGCCCGGCTCGGCTATCCTCTCTCTCTGCTCGCTCGTCTACTCCGTGACGCTGGTGTCAGAAAACACAGGCGGCATAATACATAGGCGAGTTAGAGGCATAACTCACCATCCTCATCAGCGGTCATGATCTACCCACTGCTGGATGAAGGCCTTCCTCCAAGCCGTTAACCATCACGGCGCCGCGATGCAAGCATCTAACCCAGAACTCGCAAATGAGCAAATCTCATTGCTGCATCTCCGCAAGTCATCCCACTTGGTGCGTGATTATCTGCATCACGCATTCCGTTGCGTTCGTCGTTCAGTCTTGTTCGTTATACCCAAAATGTCCATGAACATAGAATGTGCGCACGCGGTACACAATCGATTCTCAAGGCGCACGATTGGATGAAAGTATCGTGAGCGAAATAATCCACCGTCATCAATGACGTGATGATCTACGAGGTGGGGCACGAATAATTCCCGCAATTTATCTGCCAGCGATTGCGATCTTTGTGGCCCTCGAAAGGAAAATTCAAGTGGGCAACAATCCTCATCAGATGACAAAGTGAAGACGCGTGTCCTGAATTGGCAGCTGTGCCTGAATAACCCATATAGAGTCTGTATGTCCCCCTTCCGGGTCCTCCGGTTTTTCCCTACACATTTAGAAACATGCGTTGAGATTTGGATAATTTGGTTTCCATAAATTTCCACGTGATAAGCCACTTCGTTGGGCTATCATTTGTGGCCAGATCGTTTCTGAAAAAGAAGATAATAGCTCAGTGGGCTATACCTGGAAAAATAAAATAAAAAAAGTGATTTGCTTCCCTTTCTTATGCTTTGCACTCCCAACGTGTTTTTGGACTGTTTATCGTTGTAACTTTCTGAGCCGCCCCGAACTGGGCATCTGTGAAAAAGAGCTTTATAGCTCATCGGATTCCTGCTCCGGTATATTCTGATTCCTGAAAGTGGTGCAAGTGTGGGTGGCTGTGAGCGTGGTGGTTCGTATGGTCATCGACCGTAGAGGTTGTTTTTTTTTTATAAGCGTGGCAGCTGCGTTCGCGCGTGTGATGGCTGTCTTTATAAGTGGCGAATATTTGAAAAGGTCTTGGTGTTTCCCCAAGATCGACTCGGCCTTACATGCCTACCTGGTGCTGTGTGTAAACATCAACATTGGCCGGGAAGCGGGTGACAAAGGTGCCCGGGCATGGTGCTGGCCACCCACAGCATTGACCCAAACAATTGTTTCGTGATAGTGAGCGCCACCGCAGCCGTGTTAGTGAGTGTAGTTACCATGTGGGGGAGCGGTCGTGTAGCGGTTAACGCGCTGCGCTACGAACCCGGTGACCCGAGTTCGATTCCCGCTCACGGTCAACACTAGTGACGATTATCTGAACCGGTCCCGGGCCTCCCCTAGGTCTACTCAGCCTAAAATAAATACCTAGTGCGGTGTGTAAACATTGCCACTAAGGAGACAAAGGCGGCCGGGCGTAGTGCTGGCCACCCACCCGCTTTTGTGCCGTGCCGACCTTCATAGGTGCTCGCTAACACCACTTGCACCAACAGTCGAAGGCTATACGGGGGATCTTTGTCTTCGGTCTGTGCGAGCGGGCGGCTGCGTTCGTGTGAAGTGCCGACTTGAACCACCCTCGCATTACATAATAGTCGGGTGTTTGCTATCGCCATGGAAACGCCGGCTTTAGTCGATCGTGCCGCAGACACCCCGCCAGTTTAAAAAAGCCGAGCAGTTTCAGTTCCGTTCTCTGGCTTACACGCCAGTCCTTAAGACCCTCACGATCAGCGTGGACACACGCAACCAGCTGTCCGCACAACCAGCGTGGACACACGCAGCCAGCTGTCCGCACAACCAGCGTGAACACACACAGCCAGCTGTCCGCACAACCAGCACTTAAAGCTGTCCGCACAACCAGCATGAACACACATAGCCAGCTGTCCGCACAACCAGCACTTAAAGCTGTCCGCACAACCAGCATGAACACACACAGCCAGCTGTCCTCACAACCAGCACTTAAAGCTGTCCGCACAACCAGCATTTAAAGCTGTCCGCACAACCAGCATGAACACACATAGCCAGCTGTCCGCACAACCAGCATTTAAAGGCTTTCCGCCCGTTGCTCCTTCACCGAATAATTACGTGCCAATCACAGGTGTGAAGATTCACCCCCCCCCGCCCCGGGAGATCGGATCAATTGTCCAGATTTAAGGATCAATGTATTTTTTTATATTGTGAATGGTTGTGGGCCGAGAAAAAGTGGCAAGGGTCATGTGAACTGATCACACAGAAGGTATACGAAGTTGAAGACATAGGTCATACACAGATGCAAGGGAGCACCAATCCATGCATCGTTGCGCCTCATGCTGATTAATGTCGTTGGCATGTTCAGTGTCGTACGACGTGGCGGCTACATTCAAACCCCGATCACATTGCCTTAACCAATTAAAGGGCGAGACCAGGAATATATTACAGTGAGGGGAAAAAAGTATTTGATCCCCTGCTGATTTTGTACGTTTGCCCACTAACAAAGAAATGATCAGACTAGAATTTTAATGGTAGGTTTATTTGAACAGTGAGAGACAGAATAACAAAAAAAATATCCAGAAAAACGCATGTCAAAATTTTTATAAATTGATTTGCATTTTAATGAGGGAAATAAGTATTTGACCCCCTCTCAATCAGAAAGATTTCTGGCTCCCAGGTGTCTTTTATACAGGTAACGAGCTGAGATTAGGAGCACACTCTGAAAGGGAGTGCTCCTAATCTCAGCTTGTTACCTGTATAAAAGACACCTGTCCACAGAAGCAATCAATCAACCAGATTCCAAACTCTCCACCATGGCCAAGACCAAAGAGCTCTCCAAGGATGTCAGGGACGAGATTGTAGACCTACACAAGGGTGGAATGGGCTACAAGACCATTGCCAAGCAGCTTGGTGAGAAGGTGACAACAGTTGGTGCGATTATTCGCAAATGGAAGAAACACAAAAGAACTGTCAATCTCCCTCGGCCTGGGGCTCCATACAAGATCTCACCTCGTGGAGTTGCAATGATCATGAGAACGGTGAGGAATCAACCCAGAACAACACGGGAGGATCTTGTCAATGATCTCAAGGCAGCTGGGACCATAGTCACCAAGAAAACAATTGGTAAGACTACGCCGTGAAGGATTGAAATCCTGTAATGCCCGCAAGGTCCTCCTGCTCAAGAAAGCACATATACATGCCCGTCTGAAGTTTGCCAATGAACATCTGAATAATTCAGAGGACAACTGGGTGAAAGTGTTGTGGTCAGATGAGACCAAAATGGAGCTCTTTGGCATCAACTCAACTCGCTGTATTCGGAGGAGGAATGCTGCCTATGACCCCAAGAACACCATCCCCACCGTAAAACATGGAGGTGGAAACATTATGCTTTGGGGGTGTTTTTCTGCTAAGGGGACAAGACTTCACCGCATCAAAGGGACGATGGACGGGGCCATGTACCGTCAAATCTTGGGTGAGAACCTCCTTCCCTCAGCCAGGGCATTGAAAATGGGTCGTGGATGGGTATTCCAACATGACAATGACCAAAAACACACGGCCAAGGCAACAAAGGAGTGGCTCAAGAAGAAGCACATTAAGGTCCTGGAGTGGCCTAGCCAGTCTCCAGACCTTAATCCCATAGAAAATCTGTGGAGGGAGCTGAAGGTTCGAGTTGCCAAACGTCAGCCTTGAAACCTTAATGACTTGGGGAAGATCTGTAAAGAGGAGTGGGACAAAATCCCTCATGAGATGTGTCCAAACCTGGTGGCCAACTACAAGAAACGTCTGACCTCTGTGATTTCCAACAAGGGTTTTGCCACCAAGTATGAAGTAATATTTTGCAGAGGGGTCAAATACTTACTTCCCTCATTAAAATGCAAATCAATTTATAACATTTTTGACATGCGTTTTTCTGGATTTTGTTGTTGTTATTCTGTCTGTCACTGTTCAAATAAACCTACCATTCAAATTATAGACTGATTATTTCTTTTTCAATGGGAAAACGTACAAAATCAGCAGGTGATCAAATACTTTTTTCCCTCGCTGTACCTCCCACAACCAACAAGTCAAGCACGGTCTGCTTATGAACTGATAGATTGTGCTAAATCTATTCATATAAATGAACAAACTTTGTATATTACATGATTTGTGTAGCCAACTCCACGCTGAATCCCTCGCCCTATCCCCGCCCAGTGGAAACAGCAGACGTTGCTCCATGCAGCAGCGTGAAGGCCCTGATTTAGCCTCTTCCCCTCTTCCTCCCTATCCTCATCTTTCCTGGCCATTTGGTCCAGTTCTTCCATTCCCTTAACTCTCATTTCCCATTCTTTCCCTTCTCTCTTCCTTCTCCCGTTACCTGTTCTACTTCGATACAGTGTACCATTGACGCCACTCCCCGTCCCGTGGTGCGCTATGGGTAAACAGTTGCTCGCGACAGACGAAGCGTCTGTGGCTTACAGAGACACCAGCTTGGTAAAATCCCACTGCCACAGTTTACGATTTATTTTGCCTTTCAAATCAATCGACAACTGCCAACGGTTACACTTGTGCGAAATTATAGGCGACGCACACACATACACGAACAGCAGAAAAAAATAACAAAAATTGTAAAAAAAAAGTCAATGTGAGATCATTTGAAAATAAATCCGCAAATTCAGATTGCAATCATCAATGAGCTTTTGCGGGAAATGTACTGAACCATGACGCCTCGACTACCGCCACCGCAGGGGCCGAGCCGAGGACAGGTGCGCACATTCACCTGGGACCTTTCTTCCTCACGTAGCGGTTATTTACAGCCCGAGGCCACAATTCCACCCACACCCCCACCGACACGAGGGTGTGGGTGCTTTGTGTGTGTTGCAGTGTGTGTGTGTGTTGCAGTGTGTATGTGTGTTGCGGGGATCGGTAGAGGTCAGCGTCACTTGTGGTACGAACCCGGCGACCCTAGTTTGATTCCTGGCCATCGCTAACATCGGGGGTGAAAAGTTGCACCGGTCCGGGGATTCCCCGCGGGCGGCTCGTGCCTTAAATGAGTAGGTGGTACAGTGTGTAAACACCGGCACGTGGAAGACAAAGGCGGCCGAGCGTAATTTCGACAATGCCACTTCTCCCGTGTCCAGTGCTGACCTTCACTAGATGCTCGCAAACAGTAATTGTCCCCCAACATTCTGTTATCTACGTGTATGTGTGCGATCGTTGGTTCGACACCAGACACAGCGAGGTGACGCGAGCGGTACTCTTCTCGGTCAAACTGCCTTTGTGTCGGTGCGTGGACGTGTGGTGCTCTCGGCACCACACCTCTAATGTGCCACGCCGTTGCCAACAGTCTACACAGCGAGTGCGCGAAAAGAAGCAGGATGGTTATCCCGAGCCGGACACCTGCCAGGACATGATGGAGCGGTGGACCTTCTTCCACACGTCCGTGGGTTCCTGCCCAGGATGAGAAAATACAATGAAACCATGAAACAATTAATCGATTCTGTAATACCGCCGTGGGTGTATGCCAAAGTCTAGTAACAGGATAGAATGCATTTATTTGGTTGAATGTGCCCTGGGTGTGACGTTAAGCTTCATCCAGCATCACCTAAACAACACTGCTCAAAGAGGCACCTCGACCGTCCTAATCCAGCTATGGGTCAAGAACCCTCGTATGGAATACGGTGTTACGAGGTTAAGAGGGGAGGGTGGAAACAGATGGGATGGAGGGGGAGCTTTGGGCCATGGACTTACCCATGAGCCGAGACAAACAGATTCACTTGCATAGATGTGGGAGCATAGTACGCGAGAGCACAGTACAGTACAATGGCATTTGTTGCACTGGCCGCCGCTAAGCACGGCAGCCACCTGTGACAACCTGTTTGTGCAAGGTGGTCGCCCATCTAAGCACTGTCCAGGCACAAATCTTTCTGAGTTTGTATGGGATCGTGCAAATTCCTGGTGATTTGGTCACAGAGACCCAGTTAAACCTTGCTTATTATGATGAAATGTACAGATGCTACCATGACAGTGAACCCTGATGACATGCTGCGTACATGGACAGAGGACTTCTCATTAGGAACTGCACGCAGTCCTTACCAGAGTGCTCACGGTCCCTTCTCCCACAATCATCGGCAGCATTGTATTCAGGGCTGCCCTCCATCCTGGCACCTTGTCTTGTGACGCACCCTCGTCTGCCTCTGATGGGCCGGGAACCGTCACGGGACAAACCCACGGGCACCAATGGCGGTGTTCCGAAATGGGGTGAAAGGTTATGTTGTCCACATCCTGCACGAGAGACAGGGAGTTGCGCTCGTTGAATACAGAAGCAAAATCAAAAACATCGGTCTATAGCTCTCTCCGATGGCCGTTTCGGGCTGCAACAAGTTCTCCATCGTGATGTCTGAAGTTTCGCAGCAGTTCCCGAAGAAACTCACAGCACGTGGAGCAAAACTTCAGAATATCAATTGCCGAACAGCATGTGGCACAACCTCACAACGCGTCAGGAGAGCTAGACAGCACAACCGCAAAATCAACTCGGTCGTAAAAAAAAGTAATTTACAAAATGTGCAATAAAACCATAACAGGTGTGCCCAGTGCAGGTTAAGTGAATGTATAAAGGTCTTCCTTTACATCATGGAATATTTAAAGCGCTTGTACCCACAAGATCCGTGGGGATGTTACATATCAATTAATAGGCTTCACATCGACCTATACTGTGGAACAGTTTATTTCCATTAATGTCCGTGTGGTCACAACTAAACATTTGGGACATTTAGGATGCAATGCTACAAGTCACTGCAATATTTAGCACTGCTCACAACGCAAACCAGTCAGGTTGAACGATTCAGACCTCACCGATTCACTCCAGTCACTCGCTCACCTGGTGGTCAGTCGTCTCATCACACTGCCATCGCTACTACCACTGTTACTGTTCTTATGAACTTCACTCACCGATTCCTCCACCCGTGTTGGGGCCTCGGTGTAGCAGGCTGTTCATCTCTTCCACACCATGTTCAACCACCACAACGCAGGTCATAACAGCACACTCAACCCACTCGCTCACTACACTGCAGGTCAACATATTTCTCATTCAGATTCTTTCCTCACACTGATCTTCTTAGGATTTCCCTCCCTTTGTCACTTTTCCCAGGTTCTTACAACCCTGCTCAATTCAAGACCAATATTAACTATTTATCTATTACACCTCCTAAAGTGCTGGACATTGCTGGATGCTTGGCATTTTGGCCCCATTGGGCCTGTGCTCAAGAACCACGACAGATAATCAAATAAAAAAAAAGCAAAACCTTTAAGACCTGACACTTGCGTGGCAACAATAGTTTATGGACCCAAAACGTGAAATCCGTTTGGGACGAGTCAGCGCAGTGGACAAGAGTACAAACCGTGCGGCCGCGCTTGGCTGGGCTGGCGCAGTCATCGCGACGGCCACCATGGCCCCCGCTCGCATCCTCCACGATCGGCCTCTTGGTTCCCACGGCGACTCGCGGCCCGGGGGACACCTGCTGCGCAAACGAACGGCAGCGGCAGCAGCAGCAGCAATACCAGCAGCACACGCACACAAACCAAACAACGTGTCAACGCCAAAACAAAAATCCCTTCACTCGTGGCAATGTTTTTGTTTAACCGGGGAGGTAAGAAAAATATCGTTTGAAATTAAGGTTTGTGCTGTCCTGCACCTGCTTAGGCGGAGAGACGAGGTTTTGCTGCGACGCCGGAGAAATGACGGCGGCGGAGGCCGGGGAAGGCCTGCCGCACGGCGTCACATTGCCGACGGTCATGGTGTCGCAACTCCGTTCAGAATCTGCATCCTGCGTTTTGAAGTTCCACAGGCCGATGCGGCGACAGCAGATCGTGCAGCTGACGATGGATTTGACGTTCGGGCTGGGTCCACAAGGCGCAAGAACACACATTCAAAAATAGCCCTATTAGACGGCGCTGCAAAGATCTGCCCACTGTTGCTTCACCAACGTTTGAAAAAAATACTACTTTGAAAATGTGTCAAAGAGGGAGGTGGCGGGTGACTCAGAGATTGTAGTGCTGAGCTGGCACTGCCAAGAACCGGGGTTCATGTGCAGATTTCTAAACTGGGTTCCCCAAGTGCAGCGAGTTAATTGCTCTCAGCCGAGACACCAACGACTTCCATACAAAACCACTCACACAGCGAACAAGACTCGCATCGACTGGGTTGTAATCAAACCGGGTTAACAAGTGTAGTGAATTGTGGTCTGAGCCTAGACACCAATGTCAGCACAGAAAAACTCATGACATTTAATTTGGTTCTGTACTTACTATGGATACATTCCAGCTTTGAGAAAGTAAAATGTCAATTTAACCATAGTTTGGCTAATAGCACTCTCAACATCTTTCTTCTCAATATTGTATTGTGTTATCTATTAATAGATCACACTGCATATTATGAAACTCTATGCTAACCATCGTACACATTACTGTATACCGTTTTGACATATCTACGGCAACGCTCATTAGAACGTTCACCTCACTAACCCTAATGCCAGGAACAAATTATCAAGAGGGGACTATCTCCCAGCTGGGGATTATGGACAAATAGTTGAAGGATAAAAAAAGGGCTGATACTGGAAACACATTTAGTACAAGTCCCATTTACTAAAAAAAAACTCAACACATTCGTGAATAACACTGCCTTTAAATAAAAAAAAATGTAAGTGATGTTTCAGGGAACGGCCTTCTTCACGGGATGGGCCACTGCATGAAATGTCGTCTATGATATATTTTTTCATTAAAGGCCACAGTGTCATTGCCGAAAGCGTTTTAGGGTTTCATTTAAATGTGATTGTGCACCGCCGACAATCACAGAAGCACCACCAACTAATATTAAATATTTATCACTCACTCCGTGGAGTTGTTCAAATTCAATGAGTGGGCTCCCTCTGGTGGACGAAGCCTGCAAGAAGCGGCCTTGACTAAGCATCAGCATTGCACGAGTGGCAGAGCAAGGAACGCGGGGCTTGGGCAAGACACATCGCAAGTCGTCCGGACGGCTTAGGGTCGAGACTAACGACGGAGTGGCAGCCTAGGAGGGAACACGCCCAGAGATGGAGCGATGAACTCACCTCGTGAAACTAGTGGACATCTGCAAAAAAGAGCTTTATAGCTCAGTGGATTCTTCCAGTAAAGGATTCGGATTATTAAAGGTGGAATGCTGCATCACAGAACTGAGAGATGATGATGATGGCTTGCGGAGGCCTTCATCCAGGAGAAAATTGATCATGTCTGATGATAATTCCAAAAATTTTGTGCAGTAATTTGTGAGCGGGCTGAGATCAGTAACTTGCTACACTTGAGAACCCATTTTGACCACGGCGTGGTCAGAAACCGGATCCAAACCCAGGATCTCAGCGGTGCCATCCGAATCGCCAAATTTCCGAGCCACCCCCTCGTAGGCCATCTTGCCCATTTACAATTTTGGTACGTGCCGCCTCACAATCGCAACCCACCTGGCGTCCCAGCCGCAGAGCGCAAGCACACAGGCGGCCACCGCCCCGGGCTCCATGTCAACTGTCACTTCGTCCACCTTTGCCCCGTCGTCCACCTTTGCCCCGTCGTCCACCTTTGCCCCGTCGTCCACCTTTGCCCCGTCGTCCACCTTTGCCCCGTCGTCCACCTTTGCCCCGTCGTCCACCTTTGCCCCGTCGTCCACCTTTGCCCCGTCGTCCACCTTTGCCCCGTCGTCCACCTTTGCCCCGTCGTCCACCTTTGCCCCGTCGTCCACCTTCGCCCCGTCGTCCACCTTTGCCCCGTCGTCCACCTTCGCCCCGTCGTCCACCTTCTCCCCTTCGTCCACCTTCGCTCCAGTGTCCACCTTCGCCCCGTCGTCCACCTTCGCCCCTTCGTCCACCTTCGCCCCAGTGTCCACCTTCGCCCCGTCGTCCACCGTCGCCCCGCCGTCCACGTTCGACACGTCGTCCACCTTCACCCCGTCATCCACCTTCTCTCCAACTTCACTGCTCGCTCCAGGTGCCGCCTCTTTCTGGACGACGGCGGCCTCCCCCTCTACGTCCTTGCCTTGGACCCCTGAGTCAGCGTCGACGTTTGAGGGCGTTCCCTCCCCTTTGCCGCTCCTCCCATTAGTTTCCCCTTCACCGCCCTCCGTTTCACTCAAAACCTCTTTGCCGTCATCCTTCCCGCTGGCGCTTGCGTCGTGGCCGCCCGTTCCATTTGTTCCTCTTCCGCCACTGACCTTTCCTTCGCCATTGTCCATCGCGCTCGTTGCTCCTGCAATTTCTACCTCTCCTTTTGTCGCTCCTTCAAGGCTGTCGTTTTTTCCATTGCTTCCTTCTCTTCCGCAGACGTTCTTTCCGTCAGTCTCTGCGTCACCGCCGTGCTCTGCTCTCTTGGCGGGAGCCAATGCTTGCAGCAGCAATTTCATCGTGTCTTCTGAAATCCCCTGGTGACACACAAGTGCGTAAGCCAAGGCCGTTGCGTGCGCCAAACTAAACAAGCCATAATCAAGACAGACACTCACAGATATATAATAAAGCCCGCAACAAATCACTCACGCCTTGAAGAGAACCGCGCGATTCGATTCAGGAATATATTTTAAAAACATTGCCGTTAACTAATTACGAACAACAAAATACGTAAAATTTAGATTTAAAGCTTTCGTGACTACAGGGATTCATATTCTTGGTTCTTTGGGTAAAGTCACGTAGAAGGGAAACAATAAATAAATTGTTTCACCTATACGTGACTTTACCGAAAGAACCAAGATTAATAAAATACGTCTCAACAATAACAGACTCTGACACGCATAACTCGATGAGCGACTCGTAAGCACAAAAATAAACTTGAAGCTATAGATTCATCATATATGTGATACGAAGGAGCATTTGCCTGAAATTTCGCCGATTATATTACAGTATTTTCATTTTAAGGCCACACACGTACGGTCTTAGACTAATGCGCTGAGTCAGAATGCAAAAAAAAACACTGATAATATATGCATTGTCTTTGAAACTGATTGGTCCACACCAGAGACAGCTTTCTTTCGAGCCTCGTCTCAAACGGTGTTAAACCAGAGGACGCCAAAAGGCGTGTGGACCAATCAGTTCAAAGACAATGCATATATTATCAGAGTAAGTATTTGTGTGCATTCTGACCACAATTATTGTGGTTAATGCAGACATGATTCCTTGTAAAAGATTTCAGTTTGGTGTTTTAACATCTTAACACCTTTTTGTTGCCAGAAAAAAAGGGGAAAACCTATTCTCATATTTTGGTACTGGCAAAGGAGGTCCCATGATGTGTTTTGTTCTTCGTGTACCACTGCCAATGCAGTATCATCAAATTCATCGTTAAACCCTTACAAATTACCCAATCTAAAATAATTATATCTAGTAATAATTGACTTATTTAATTTAATCAGGAATGCCACACTGAGTCGTAAGACTTTTTTCCAGGAGGGTCCTGCATTGGGGTTTATTTTGAAATGTTTTTCAGCCAATTTATGAATTCATGAGTTTTTGATTATACGTGGGAAGAGGAAACCGGAGCACGCGAACAAAAAACTCACACCTTATCCCCGAACAGATGAAAACAGATGGTGATTAGTCCACTTACTGTACTGCGTTCTCATGGCGAGCCAGGGTATGGCAACCTCGACGCCCATAGAAAGGGGGTATCACGAACAATTATGCAATCCACCAACCCTCGCCTTCACAGTGCTGGATAACAGCCATGCATTGCCACCACCGCCCAGCTATATACGTAAAATGAAGTGGTGGTGCAACAGTTCATATCCTACGCTATGAACCTGGCTCCCTGAATTCGATTCACAGCCACCGCTATAAGACGAGCGTTGAGGACATGTGAACTGGTCCTCAGCGCCCCCACCAATGCACATTGATCAACCTGGTAAAATATGGTTACACAACCCCCATGACTGACACAGCATGGGGAAGAGCCTCATCCAGCAGTGGATTACCAAAAGGGCTGCGCATCAGGAGTATTCGTTACCGATTGCTGAACAGGACTTTCAGATACCTTTTGTGAGCCACACATTAACACACACTTCAGTCACTTTTGTCATGCAAGAAGCCCTTGCAATTACAGGAGTGACTAACTGTGCTAAATAAGGAACACAGACTTGCCAGGTCAAGAACATTCCACTCGAGTACCCAATTAGTGCAGCTAAGATGATTGCAGTGACCGTTTTTGAGTCGTTTTTAAGTGGTAGGCCTTCCATGTGGCCATGGTACGTACGAGATAAAGTTGTGGATCGGAAGTTGCCCACCAATGATGATGTGCACGATCAATTAGAACATGCCTCAACGATGACAGCGGCCACAGTGGTATAATGGTTAGCAACTTGGACTATCAATCCAAAGGTCGCCGGTTCGAATCCATCTTCGGGCGCAGCAGTTCAAACTATTTTGCAAGTTTGTTAAAACCCCCACGCCTCTGTCTACCCAGCGGTATAAATGGGTAATACCACAATTAGATGAGTTGATCGGCAGGTCGTGTGTGGTGGGGTAAAGTGTGGATATGCCCACCTCAACCAAATACGTCTGGTCAACTGGAACAGTAGGTCAACTGGAACAGTAGACCAAATACCATGTAAAAATGTGCTCTTGTGGAGCCCATTTCATCAGCAGTAACATGAACAAGCAAATTCAGGGCTGCACCATTACCTTTTACCATTGTCCCAAGTTAATATGACCTGGTGTACGACCCCGGTGTGGGCGAGCGGGTGCAACCGTTTGATACTGACCACGTCATGCAAGGCAGCAGGGCTGAGCGAAGGCAGCGCATGCAGCTGCTGGAAACGCGAGCAGAATGAGGAGAGCAGCTGGGCAGGGTCATGCAGCGGCAGCAAGAAGAGCCAGTCTGAGGAACAAGCGAGCGCACACACACACGCGTCACACACACACGTCAAACACACACACACATTATACACACGCATACTCAGAGACGATTATACCAATACCTCTTTTCCACTGTACAACCAAAAACGTGCCAGGCAGGTGCAAAGCCAGCCTGGCGCGACTTAAGATGCAAGTTTTTTTTCCACTGCAGATACCGTGCCGCTGACATTACACAAACGTAAATGATGAAGTGACACCATGTTCTCAGTGTACTCACTGTCGTCACATGCAATAAACGAGTTGCTATACCTGCCTGTGGCCCTTCTTGGCACCCAGTAGGATTCAGATGTCTTGTGAGGCCAGAATATCACGGTTTGGTTGTGGCTCGGCATGGCAAATAGCCAATGGAAAATTATATTCTTGTTCTTTCAGTAAAGTCACGTAGATAGAAAAAATAAAAACCACGACATTTCGATCGCAACACACGTGGTCATCATCAAGAAAAGGGGGTTAGCCTCTAAAGGAAAACTGTTTATAAAGGTTTAAAATGGGCGTAGCCCAAGTGTCAGCAGCATGGGCGGGGCAGCTGATGTTAATGGCAGTGATGGTTCAATGACGGTACTGGTGGTGGGTTTCCACCAATTAAAGGGCTGCCAGGTAAAAATAAATTAGCATGTTAATGTAAGATCGGAGAGCTGCATCCACGGCGTGTGTGCTGAGATGGCTATGTTAATGTGAGAGATTAGCATGTTGATGTAAGATCGCAGAGCCGCCTCCACGTCGAGGTCGGCGCGTAGAGGTGGCCGAAGGCGGCTGAATATGAATTCCTGCAGTCACGAGAGTTTTAAGTCAAAATGGAAAATTAGCCGTACCGCGAGGGTCCCGTGCTGCCTCGGCTCGGATGTGCCAAAGTGGAAAAGGCGGTAGAAGTGCCCTGATGTGTGAAGCAGGAAGCTTACCAGGACAGGGGTCATCGGGCCAAGTGCAGTACTTGGCATGCGACGTCTTCAGAGATTCTGTTACTTCCTTGAGTTTTTCATCGTCTGGGGACACAGTGAATAAAATTAGCAGCCATCGCACGTGCAAGGTTACTCACAATGAACGCAAGAGCGCATGTCCACAAATATATTAATGCCAATGGCTTATTTCCAGGAGGGTCTGTCCGAGTTTGCAATCTGCAAATGATTTCTGCACCCATCACACCACATCCAGTATATATCTCCGCAGATGAACCTCCAATTAGCACGGTTCGACCATGAAGTTGAGAAAGAAGTTCACGATACATACATACCAGTCATGTTTCTATTCCAGTCAGAAAACATTCAGTGAGAAATTAAGCCCTGTTAACTCCACTGGTTTTTGTTCTAATTTCTATTTCCTTCATTGCTTTACTTTAAATTATTTGTTTTGCTTTTGTCATTTTAATGAGCCAGTTCACAATTGGAAATGAGGATATCCTGATGTTGAGTTCTCACCTGTTGAAAGGAAAATAAACTAAAAATGTTGGTAAATTATTGAAGTGAATGGTGCTTTGGTTTTCTGAGCTTTACAAATCAGAGGATCACATTATCATTATCTGGATGAATGCCGATTAATTATTGCAAATTCTAAAATGGTATGTCTTAGGAAGTGAGATGAAATCAAAACATGATAGAAATATAATCTTAAAGTTAGTTGGAGGAATTTAATGCAGAGATCGAAACATTTGTTCACGTTAACTAATGGCCCACGGAATCGGATATCACATAGCTTCTTCTGAGATCACTTCAAGACCCAGACAGTCGGGGAAACAGCACTTCCCCACACAATGCTACATTTATTCCCAACACGTGCGCAAATTACCACACGAAACTGCGGGCTGGCAGAGACTGAATATTTGGCGGAGGGATTTTCCGTCGTATACGCTATGCTCGTACAGTGCGGTATTACCTTGCAAAAAGTTAGTTTGCACCACATGGGTTTCTCGTGGAAATCGCGCAACCGTTTCTTGTGCAATAAAAACGCATATGCAATACAAAACACTTCTAATCCCCAATTAATCGGCAACAAATATGCGATGCGAAATGCATAATGCGGCAATTTATAGCGGAGAGTTCTTGTATTCTAAGTCGCACATTCAAATTAAGTCCAAAAAACAATATAATCTGGCATTATTTGTGTGTAGTAACAGGTGACCAGGCTGAGAACATCAACTCACGAAAACCACATTCGAACCCAAGACATCGGAGTCTCAGCTCAGGGCTCAATCACTGATCCACCCAACCACCTCCAATCTGATCACCTTGCTGTATCGACAAGTTCGTCAATTCCACTTTTGCTGCACGTGCACACACTGACCAACCGAACAGATGATCGGCAAACCGTCAGAACAGACCGACCGACAGGCACCATCACTCACAACGCGCAGTTTCCCAGATGGGAGGCAGAACGATGCACTGGGCGGTGCGGCAGCTGCAGCAGCACAGAACGTCGCGGGCCACACACTCCCATCCCAACGCGGCGCAGCACAGCGGGGAGAGGCAGCTGGGCTTCGCGGCCCACGCAGACGGGTACAGAACCCCGGTAAGGGCCAGGGGGTCATCGTCAAGTGCACAACGATTAAACCAAGACAAACAAATCGGACAGCGGTTCTCTACCCGCCGGCAAGTCCATCTCCCACTCCAAAGAAGCTCGACAAGCATTTTATAGCAGGGGTGCAGGCTGTGGCATGGATACCGTGCGGGATACATTTATATTGTACACGGGGGAACATCATTGCCACACGAATACGCAACTTCAAACAAATGCCTTGTTGAGCGCTGTTGATGTGGTATTTTAGTAACGTGGCCTTCGTAAAATTAGTGGCGTTTGTGGGAGTAGAAGGTGGGGGCACAGGGACCAGTGGTCTTGATTGGGAGGGGCAGCCATACCAAGAAGGTTAAGCATTACTGGTGTAAGAAATATTACTGGTTCGGGACACATTATAGCTGTTATATATTACTTCCGACTATTTTCATATTGATGAACAGACATGTCTGAAACATATTCACCTATTTGATTTCATAAAATGTACAGCCCTGTGTCAATCCACTGTGGGATGTAGGGCTCCCCCTCGCCATCGGTTGTAGTGATTGTTTAGCCATACTTCACCATGTCGGTCAGTGAAAGTTGAAGGGGAGACCTAGGACTGGTCCAGATAACACTTCTCACTGATTTTAGCCATGGCTGGGACTCAAACTCAGACGGTTCGGTTCATTGTGCAGAACACAAACAAGTGTACCACCACCGTTGAGCCCCCTTGTAATGTATGTGTGCTAAATATAATTATTTCAGATGAGAAAATTAGTTGGGGTTTTATCATGGATTTTTTTTTAGATGATAGCGCAGTGCATGAACAACCATGACACTTGCTCCACCATCTGTGAATTCATACAAATGCAGTATGTAATACACCGTGAGAAAATGTTTTGTTTATCAATTAAGTGATTAATTGTTGCAAACGAATCATTTAGATTGCAAAACCGCACAGCCAAACCGTGAATGACGTTGACCCTCATTAACAAAAGTCTTATACGATAACCCTCTGAAAGAACTGATGCCCAAAAGGATATAGTGAAGGTCTCGACGCGTTTCAGGAAGCGCTCTCGGTTCCGAGACAGTATTACTCTGGTTTCTGGGCTCTTTTGCCTGCAGACACATAAAGACACAGAGACACACACGTACAACAACAACAACCACCGTCCGCCAAAAAGCGACAGTGACATTACCACTTATTGGCGCTTGTGCCAGGCTAGGTGCACATGTCCATACAGAAACCAACACAATAAAAAACTTTACGGAATGTAATGGACAAATATGAATGGTGATGTTAGTGAGTGCTTAAACCCAGTGTAATTAGAACAATCGCTTTCCCAAGCATGTGTTCCTTAAGGGGAATAATGCAAGTTTAGTTTTGGCTAAGGGATAGGGTTAGGCCTGGAGTCGGGGAAACAAGGGCCATTTTTTTCGAATTCGGTACAAAATTCAATGCAGTATTTCAAGCTCCGCAATCCATGTAAGTATATATTACACTGTGTTGCAAAACTACATTTGTTTCTGGGTAGTGTTATTTCCTAATTGGTTATGCCTCAAAAGTACAAAAAATGGCTATTATTATTCCCCACAAACTTTGCTTTTGTGACCAGGACACAAAAGCAAAGATAATAATCCACTCCATTAATAACACTGTGTAACAAACTAAAAATGTTCGTGGGTAGTAAGTGTTATTTCCTAATTGCTCATGCCTCAAAAGTATATAAAATAGCTATTATTCCCCACAAACTTTGCTTTTGTGACCAGGACAGTGATATTTTGAAATTCACCTATTTTCAATGAGAAAACGTGGTGTGCATTTGTGTCTTTCCTTCACATAAAGTCCTGGTCACAAAAGCAAAGTTTGTGGGGAATAATGGCCATTTGCTATACTTTTTAGGCATAAGCAATTAAAAAAAATAACACTTAGTACCCAGAAACTAAAATTGTGTGACAGTGTTATGATATCACGAAGCAGTCCGTAAAGAGTCGCAGCTGGCCGACCCCTGGGTTAGGCGCTACATTGGTTATGCCAAAGTTTGTACCAAACGTTTTTGTAAAATTTCATCAAGGACGAAGTTTCTGAACCATGCCACGTCTAACACCAAGCTGTCGTGCGCCTCTTTATTTAATCATTTAGATTTCGGTCCGATTTCAATCCGCAACTCCGATTAGCGAGGTTGGCTACGTACGGTGCGAAAGAAGTTCAGCATACTGTAACATCGTATTTGTCCCTCCATCCAATGTCGTCAGTGTCCACGTGTCCGATGTTAATGTATTGACACTCCACAACTTTATACAATCAAACTTGCCAGATACGCGCTTGCCCACAAAACTAACCGCCCCAAACCCCCATCCCCGTGTCGCGCACGGGCCTGCCCGGTCACCCTCGCCCCCTAGCCGGTAGGAGAAAAATAAAACTATCCGAGGCCGGCGCTAGGCCTTTCCCGCGCACTTCACGCGTGTGAGGGGAAATCGCGAAGACGGCGAGATCCGGCGAGGCGGGTGAACGCGCTCCCTCGAACTCACCCCACGTCGGGAGACTTCTCCGGCGATATGAACGTGGAGAGGAGCTGGCGGATCTTCTCCGGCGTAGCGCGTTCGGGCGACGACGGAGTTTGCGAGGCGTCCATAGTGGTGAAGGGGGGGGGGATGGGAACCCAACCCGACACGGATTTCCACATTTATGGAGCATGGACTCGCACTCTTGGTATCTCGAGTGGAACATGAGGCATGGACTCTACTTATGGTATCGAGTGGAACATGTAACATGGACTCGCACTCTTCGTGTCGAGTGGAACATGGAACATGGACTGTACTTTTGGTATCGAGTGGATCATGGAGCATGGACTCACACTCTTGGTATCGAGTGGAACATGGAACACGGTCTCACACTCTTGGTATCGAGTGGATCATGAGGCATGGACTCGCACTCTGGGTATCGAGTGGAATATGGAACATGGACTCACATTCTTGGTATCGAGTGGAACATGAGGCATGGACTCTACTTTTGGTATCGAGTGGAACATGGAACACGGACTCACACTCTTGGTATCGAGTTGAATATGAGGCATGGACTCGCACTCTGGGTATCGAGTGGAACATGAGGCATGGAATCTACTTTTGGTATCGAGTGGAACATGAGGCATGGACTCACACTCTTGGTATCGAGTGGAACATGAGGCATGGAATCCCACTCTTGGTATCGAGTGAAACATGGAACATGGACTCCCACTCTTGGTATCGAGTGGAATATGGAACATGGACTCACACTCTTGGTATCGAGTGGAACATGAGGCATGGATTCCCCCTCTTGGTATCGAGTGGAATATGGAGCATGGAGGGAGGATATCCGGAACATGGATATTGGGCAAACGACTACTTACAGTACTATTATATTTACCAGGTTTGTATGTATGTGTTGAACTTCTTTCGCACCGTACGTAGCCAGCCGCATGTAACCAACCGTGCTCATCGGAGGTGTGGGGGAAGGACAACAAACTAAACATAAAAAGCAGCTTTAAATAATTAGTTTTCAGTCTAGATTATTTAAAAGTGCATAGCTTCAGTGGCTTCCTAACATCGGAGGGAAGAGCGTTCCAGACGGCCGCAGAAGCGCAGCTGAAAGCGTGCGATGCGGTGACCGATGGCTAACGAAACGCCGCTGCGATGATGACCAGAGATCGCGTGATGGTTTATACTCCTTAACAAGATCAGCAAGGTATTGTGGTTCATCTGTGGCAAGCACTTTTTGCGTGTGTACTGAGTGCGACCTTACTATGTTTCATTTCAGCAACCGGAAGCCAATGCAGCTCAGCCAGCACTGGATGTTTGTTTGCGGTTGCACCCGACTCAAGAACCGCATGGCTCATAGGGCCATACCTAATAAATTAAACTTCAAAGCTTGAAACATGGTCGGATCTTGCACTACTCATCGCGACACGTGCCAGAGAACGTTGTACACACAGCAGCTCGGTAGTATTATTTGGCAGACGTCCCGTAGAGTAGTGAGTTCCAATAATCGAGCTTTGCCGATGCTCTGCTGCACGCCACCGTGTTGGCTATGTTACGGCTCAATGGTGGTCGAATGTGTTGGACACCCTTGATGTGAAATTGCAGGTAAAGCCGAGCTATTACCAGGTTGACCTGGCCACGCATGCTCGCTCATCCAAGTGGCGTGCATCATATGTGGGAATTTATTGCAGGCAGCCAAACAATCTAAACACATGTTTATATATATGTGGAGGGCAAAACGGGAGGACCCGGAGATATAGCCACACAACCACGGGGAGATAGACTTGCAAACTCCAGATATACAGGCGTCAGGGTCGGGATTGAACCCACGACCTCCTGTATACGAGGCTAGGTCGTTCACATGATCAACTTTCAAACATTAGTCTGAGTTTGCAGCATGGAGCTTAGACCGAGTGTAGTTAGGAAAACTTGGTTCGGATCTGTTGATGTGGAGCATGGAATCTTGGTTAGCCAGACTCCTTGTTTCTTTCGTATGACTGATGTAGACACAGAACAATAACTACGATTTTACTTTCAGGTGGTCAAGTCAGATAGCGTAATGTCTCCTTCGTAGTTGTGGGTCGGACATTGCGTCGTTATATGCGATTTCGTGTGGCTAATGAGGTTCGTGTAAGATCAAACCCAGAGATTAAGCGTAAAGAAACGTGGCTTTTCCGACGTGCAAGCACAGTGTTGGAACATGGATATGGACAATTGATTACCTATTTTCCGATTACAACACGCTCCAGAAAACAAGACGCACCACAAAAGAGTGTAGATAAAATTATACAGATCTGATTACACATGCACCAACTTTTACTTTAAAATGCAAGGGTTGAGTCTTATCATCCAGATAATGATATATACGTCGTGAATATGGAAGCCACATGTTTTGGAACAAAGCAATACTTAGGTTGAGTGTGACATTAGAGGCTTTGCAACGTGAAGGATGCATGTTGAGTCAGAAGTCCGTATTTGACGATTTCCAACTTTCCTACTAAAACGAAAGACTGAACAATTGCATCTTCTTTGGTTCTTTCGGTAAAGTCACTTTACCGAAAGAACCAAAGAAGATGAATCCTTGCAGTCACGAAAGCTTTAAATCGAAATTGAACAATTGCATTTTACCAGGGAAGACCCACTGAGATACATATATCTTTTTCAGAAGCGACCTGGCCACAAACGATAACCCAATGAAGTAGCTTATAACGTGGAAATTTATAGCAGCCAAATACTCTAAATGCATGTGGATTCTAAATGCGGAGGAAAAAACCGAAGGACCCAGGGTGGAGGCGGGGTGGAGGCGGGGATGTTAGCGTAGGGCCGTCGTTCAAAGACGGGTGCTTTCACGACACAGTACATATATTTTTAAAAAGTCTCGTTGGCTGCAATAAAAGATGACAAGGGTTGTATTTTTTACTCTGACTTTTAACCATTGGATAACCGGGGGGGGGGGGGGGTAGGGTAAGGACGGATGGTCACATCCAAAGGACGCGCAAGGTTGCTAAGTCACAGTTACAAAACAAACCTTTGATTTAAATTTTGATTTAAAGCTTTCGTGACTGCAGTAATTCATATTCTTAGTTTTTTCGGTAAAGTCACGTTGAAGAGAAACAACAAAATAACAAAATATATATAAAACAATAAAAAATTCTCACGTTTCGACCATAACTCAAACGGTCATCATCAGGTGTGTCGGTTTGCATTGAAATAGGGAGAATTATGAATCATGGGGATAATCACAGAAAGTAAAGTCAAGATAAATCTTGAGAAAAGCCATACCCGCACGACCTGCCTCCCCTGCCCGAGAGAATCACTTGAGGAGCAAGGCAATTCCCTGATGCAGATGTGAGTCGTTGAGGTGTGCTTTGGGTGGTTTGAGGAGTGAGTACACGAAAAGGCCTTCTGGATGGGAATCCAAGCCTTAGGAATACTGATGATGACGATGATGATGACGTTGAGGGGCCAAGTTCATTGTACTTCAAGGGGAAAGTGTGGTGCAGAGATTATCAGGGATTCATCAAGGTCATACATTGCTTTCTGTGTTGGAATATGGGGCTTTTCCATCATCATCGTTGGTTCTGACGGACTGATTTAAGCCTAGGGCGTGGGGTTTTATTTATGTCTCGGTGGAGCGGCAGGGCGAAGTTTTTCATGATCTTGTTGTACTCCCAGATCGTCGCAGCATCACGTTGGTTGTTGGCTGGAGCGATGTTCGCCAGCACAGGAAGCCACGGATGATATGAAGTGCAGTGTCAATTTCGATGTCGACAAGGTTTGTGTGACAGGGCTGGCACTCCACACTGGAGCACAGCTGTAGAGTGGAGCAGGGCCTGCGTTGATATCTTCAACGTGAGGGTGTCATGCATACACTCATCCATATCTATGTACATACACAAACTCTTGTATCTTTTTTGTCCTTCTGTACAAGTGAGCCACACCAAGGCTGTACTGAGCCAACCCGGCACAGGTGTCCCTTGAAGCCAGCTTATCACACTTTGGTCACAGCTTGGCTTGCCAAATAGCCAGTGGAAAACCACCCGTACCGGAAGGGCCTTCCATGCTAGCTCAGCTTGGATGTGCCAGTGGGAAAAACGGGTGATTTCAGCATGGCACTGACTTCTGAGCTGCCACCTGTCCACAACCCCCTCAATCATCCCTCACTAACTTAACTCCATCCACCAAAACGGGCCTGACCCTAACCCTCACTCAGTACCGAACTCATGGCCGCCCACACACACACATATACACACCGCTCACGACGACAAAAAATAACAGCAGACACGCGTGGCGTTCACAGACTGTGTATTTGAATGTCATATCGGTGCGCTACGTTGTAAGCTGAACATCGCACGCCGGCTGCGCTCCTAAACACGCATCGCGGTGTCGACGTTTCAACGTCTATTCCATAGTTATCATTGCTGAGGATAGGAAAATGTTGGGGTTCTGAAATAAAAAGTTGAAAACACTGCCCCCCCCCCCCCCCACCACCTCACTAATCCATTTCCCAGACACCACACTTTTCGACGACACAGGGCTTCATGTCTCACTCAACATTCCCCGGAACACTTCTAGGCTGGACGTGGAGGAGGGATTGTCGGTGTACGGCACTACCGCTACAAGATATGCTTATGCGTAATAATACTATCCAGTATTATTGTACCCGGTATTCTTATAATGCTATAAAGTTTGCATACAAAAGGTGGGATGGATTTGGCGTGCCAATACCCTCGAGAGAGTCTCTCTAGCGCTCCCTCTAGCCGAGACCCTTCTGCCAGCAGTTGTGCGAGCAAGAAATTGCAGGGCTGCATCTTTACCTTTTTACGAATGAATGAATAACTGAGCTAGGGAATTCATTTTTACGAGCGCAGCCTCTGTGTGCCCCCTGTCTGTGGCGTTTGAGTTGCGTTCGCGTCTGACGATAGCTTTAAGGCAGCAGCCACGAAGGCCCATGGCGCTGGCAAGGGAAGGCCAGGTCACCGGGTCATTGGGTCAACGGGTCAGTACTCTTCCCCGTCCTCGCAGTCGCCCTCCAGGGAGTCGACCCCGACCTCCTCGTAGTCCTTCTCCAAGGCGGCCAGGTCCTCCCGGGCCTCGGCAAACTCCCCCTCCTCCATTCCCTCCCCCACGTACCTGCAGGCAAGTCCGAGGCATCAACATCGTCATCATCGTCAAGACAGTAACCATCATAAGTTACGCCAGAATCACCAACAAAGAGTAGAAGTGTCATCATCATTGGCAGTAGCTTCAGCTGCAGGAATCACCACATTCGGCAACGGTATTTGTGGCCAAATCATCAACATCATTCATCGCATTTGGAGCGACAACGTTCTTATCACCCACATCAGAAACAGCATCCTCATCATTCATCAGCATCGTCACCATCATAATCTACAGCCCTATCAGCAATGCTCTAACCACTACTTCGGCAACCCACTCCTTAAAATAAAAAAGAACATAAACTCTTTTCTTACTCTTCTTATTTTCACTCCACGTGACCACGAGGAGAGAGAGATGCAAACTCCAAATATGCAGCAGGCGTCAGGGTCGGCATCAAACCCACAACATTCTGTATACCAGACGAGGTAGTTAACATCCACGCCACCGTGGCAACCATGATCAACGTTGCTGCTGTAAACTTACCAGTGCACAAAGGCGCGCTTGGCGTACATGAGGTCGAACTTGTGGTCCAGGCGAGCCCAGGCCTCAGCGATGGCCGTGGTGTTGCTGAGCATGCAGACGGCGCGCTGCACCCGCGCCAGGTCGCCGCTCGGCACCACCGTGGGGGGCTGGTAGTTGATGCCCACCTGGGGTGGTGAGAGACACCAGGGGGAGTGGCGGTGAGGGCCACCGGATGAGTTGTGGGGAGAGGTACAAGAAAGGGCGCGTTGTCAGGTGTCATCATGAAAGGTACCGTCATCAAACTGCTACTGCGTACGTTCTTGCCGTTGCATTGTGGGTTGTACCGCGTATTGTTCAGCGTCATGTCTGATATGTTGTGCCAGGACCTGGAAGTTTTTTCGAAGAACTGAGTTCCGTAGTAGCTCTCACCATTGACATTAGCTCCTGAAGGAGCTCCCAGCACGTAGGAGCGAAACGTCGGACATCGTTCCAAACAACACATAGCGGTACGTATGAATGTATATATATTGAACTTTATTTTGCACCGTACGTAGCCAACCGTACTCATCGGTGGTGCGGTAAAAGGACAACAAAACTAAAACCACAACCCAAAAACACACGGGAGAACTATTTGTAACAGCATCATGGAGGTTAGACGGGCAGGAGCGCAAGAGTCTCTATACTTGTCGGTCTGATAAACTTTCTTCGCTATGGAAACACAAAACGCCTCGAGATCTTTCGACAAGATCGCTACGTTGTCGACACTGGCTTTGCCCGGTGCTCATGCAGTCAGAAGTTTTTGCTTGAGTGTTCGGCCTGGTCTAGTCGATGAGACTATGGGAAATATTAGTCGAGTCTGTGCGGATTTCATGTCGTCATTCTCTTCGTCTAGTAGAGTAAATCAGTTAATTATTTAGTCGTTAGACACGTTCGTTTGCTAAATATTGGTGTCTGTGTAGCAGTGTTTCTCCTCCGATCGTTATCAGGTCAGCCAATTATGAAACTCAGTAAATCCTGTTAAATACACAGAGCTAATTACCTGTTCGGTTTTCCTCAGTGCACTGCAGTCTCTAGCAATGCTACTACATTATCTCGGTCTGTGTCTTCACTTAGACTCTGTTAGATTTGTCTCGTCATGGTCAGCTGGTCTTTGTTCTCTGGTGATGGTGATGATGGTGGTGGGTAGCAGTGGTAGTCAGTTGTCACACTTATAAGTCCACTTGTAGCCATCACTGACTCAAAAATAAAAACGCTTCGTCGACGAAATATTTCCATCGCGAATTTCGTTTCGCAAAACCTCACGCTGGGCATCCTCACCTTGAAGCCCGTGGGGCACCAGTCAACGAACTGGATGCTGCGCTTGGTCTTGATGGCGGCGATGGCGTTGTTGACATCCTTGGGCACGACGTCGCCACGGTACAGCATGCAGCACGCCATGTACTTGCCGTGCCGCGGGTCACACTTCACCATCTGGTTGGCCGGCTCGAAGCAGGCCGTCGTGATCTCAGCCACGGACAGCTGCTCGTGGTACGCCTTCTCGGCCGAGATGATGGGCGCGTAGGTGACCAGCGGAAAGTGGATGCGCGGGTAGGGCACCAGGTTGGTCTGGAACTCGGTGAGGTCGACGTTGAGGGCGCCGTCGAAGCGGAGCGAGGCCGTGATGGACGACACGATCTGGCCGATGAGGCGGTTGAGGTTGGTGTAGGTGGGGCGCTCGATGTCCAGGTTGCGGCGGCAGATGTCGAAGATGGCCTCGTTGTCCACCATGAAGGCGCAGTCGGTGTGCTCCAGGGTGGTGTGGGTGGTGAGGATGGAGTTGTAGGGCTCCACCACGGCGGTGGACACCTGTGCCGTACGCAACACGAGGGCCGCGGAAGGATGGAGAAACGGGTCAGAATGGGTATAGGTTGGTATCGGTCGGGTCAGGTGAGGTCAAGTCGATTGGAGTTGGGGCAGGTCAGTAATGCGATAGAAACATGCGTTTATATTATTTACATTATTTTGCTGCTATCAATTTCAACATGATAAGTCATTTTGTTGAGCGGTCATTCGTGGGCAGGTCGCGTCTGAAAAAGAGCTATATAGCTCAGCGGGCCCTTACCTGTTAAAATAAAAAAATTGTTTAGTTTTTTTTAGTTTAGTTTAAATCCGGAGCGCCGAGGCCTTGTCCACGAACCGTAGCGCCAACTCACCTGTGGCGCAGGGTAGATGGAGAACTCCAGCTTGGACTTCTTTCCGTAGTCAACCGAGAGACGCTCCATGAGCAGCGACGTGAAGCCCGAGCCCGTGCCGCCCCCGAAGCTGTGGAAGATCAGGAATCCTTGCAGCCCCGAGCACTGATCGGCCTACGGTCCATGTGGGAACATTAGGTGGGGACATGGGGTGGGCGTGGGGTGAGGATAGCGATTGGGAACACAGGCAGCCCCTGTAACCGTAATTGCAGCAGCAGTAGCAACGATCCAAGTCAGTGACGAGGAATATATGTTCCCCCCCATTAGTCTGAAATTTCCTCCCCCACCAGGACTATGAGCTTCATGGAAGGTCAAACCCAGAGAGTGAGCGTGGAGTGAAGAAACGTGAATTTTCGGACGTGGAGCACAGTGTTGACAAACGGATATGGAGTGTGGACAATTGATTTCCGTACTTTTCCGATTATAACATGCTCCGGAAAATAAGACGCACCACAAAGTGTCAATAAAGTTACCGACTCCTTCCCTTCTTCAAGTCCAGGTTCAGGAGCTTCTTCTTCTCCTCTGCCTATGCCTGACCCTATTCACGTAGAGGAATGCATGTAGCTCCCCATAATGATACACAGTGGTTCCTAATTATGTGCAGCATTTCAGGCAGTTGGACGGACGGACGGACAGAGCTATTGCCAGGGCCGCCTAGAGAGGGTGAAGCAGGGGGTGCAGAAGGTGCAACTTGCCCCAAAAGGACCCCACAACATTTCTGGAGGATCCTTGACTCAGGGCCCATCTGGCCCTGAACAGGGCCGTTGGCGTTGGCGTTGGCGTGGCTTGTGTGGTTGCTCTGGAAACCGGGGGATGCTCGACGTTCGGTCGCGCGTTGATTTCTCACTTAACCAGAGTGGGCCGCGTGGAGGCTGCCATCTTCCACTCCACAACATTCAGATTTTATGTTACTCATGAATCAAGGGGCTCCACGTGGAATTATGTCTAGGGCCTCCAGCCCCGGGGCCTACATGGAACCTCTCTGGGCAGCGCAGCGGTACCAGTAATCATTTTCAACGTCGGTGGAAAATCGTTACAAAAACTGACAGTGCTTGCCCTCCTCCTCCCCACCCGGCCACCAAAGACAAAGATCCCCGTGTAGCCTTAACAGACTATAGGAGCAAGTGCTGTTAGCGAGCACCTATGAAGGCCGGCACGGTACACGCGAGGTGGGTTGCCAGCACCACGCCCGGCCGCCTTTGTCTCCCCAGTGGCGATGTTTACACACCGCACCAGGTACTCATTTGAGGCTGAGTCGACCTAGGGGAGGCCCCAGGGCCGGTTCAATTAATCGTCACCGGTGCTGGCTGTGAGCGGGGAATAAAACTCGGGCAGCCGGGGTTCGTAGCGCAGCGTAGCGCTAACCGCTGCACCACCGCTCCCCACCACCATCGCCACCGGCCCACCACCTCCGCCGTCCCGTACCAGCTTGCGGATGCGGTCGAGCACCAGGTCGACGATCTCCTTGCCGATGGTGTAGTGGCCGCGCGCGTAGTTGTTCGCCGCGTCCTCCTTGCCCGTGATGAGCTGCTCGGGGTGGAAGAGTTGGCGGTACGGGCCCGTGCGCACCTCGTCTGAAAGAGGGGTCACACGAGGGGGTCAAGGCGCGCGCGATTGGGGGTCAAGGCGCGCGCGATTGGGGCTCGCGCGTGTCGGCGTTGCGCAGGAGGAAGCGAGGGGAGCAGACTGTCGCCCTCTTCCTCCAAACTTGGCAGGCTGGGGGGCAGCGGTGGGGGGGGGGGGGGGGGTAATTGGCTTTCGCCCCCCCACTGGGAAGCCCTGCAGCCCTGTGCACCGATCGGCCTGGGATCCATGTGGAGAAAGTGGTAGAAACTTAGGGGGGAATTGGGGGGGCATGAAGGGTTAGGGGTTAATGTATGAATATTATTAGAAAGAATTGTCCAATCGGTGTATATCGCTATTCATAATTGGTTTATTTTGGGTTAGGTCAGGGGTCGGAAACCTGCTGTTCCGGAGGTGCATGTGGCTCTTGAAGGACTGCTGCTTCGTGACGCTCCCCCCCTAAAAGATAAAAGGTTTAGATGGCCGGTGTGTAGAAGGTTGCTCCCTCTGACTGAAGCTATTGTGGAAGATTAATTTCTTTTTATTTTATTAAAATATCCGAGGATTAAAATCTCCCAAATTGCTTCCAGTAGTCACCAGGACATCGATGCCAATGCTGGTAAAAGGTTCCGGGGATAATCCGGGAGGATTGGCAACCCTAGGTGTGTATCATAGATCAATAATAGAGTTTTCCCCTTTTTTTCTGGCAACAAAACTGAAACCTTTTTACAAGGAATCATGTGTGCATTAACCACACAAAATGCAAAAAAAAGCCACACTGATAATATATGCATTGTCCCTGAAACTGATTGGTCCAGAGACGGCTTTTGAGCCTCGTCTCAATTGGTGCTAGACCAGAGGACGCCAAAAGGCGTACAGCTCAAACACAATGTACTATCAAAGTAATGAGGGCTCTGGGTAAACATCTACCTCATTAGACCTCCTTTGCAGGTACCAAAATATAATAATAGGTTTCTTGGAACGTGCAGGGGAGGTTGAGCGTGACGAGATTTTTGTATTGAGCGTATTGCGATCGGCGGGATGCGTGCAGAGGCTTCGGTTTAGTGCGTAAAAAAAGTGCAACCAATATGGTTGTTGTTATTCTTGTGTTACACAGGATTGGTCAGAAAAAATTCTGAATCTTTATTTAGCCCGGAGGAATCCAATGAGCTTATGGGCTGACACGGGTGCCTCTTGGTCGCCGCTTGCAGAGATGCGAAAACTCCCCAGGAGAGAGCACTTTTGAACAAATCGTCGCCGTCACATTAACCCAATCGTGGTTCCCTCTTCGTGAAGTCGTCCGGTCATCTCAAAGCAAGCCGCGTGATGTGGATGGGGGCACAAGAACACAACGCGGAATAACATCTACCATCGCCGAATGGATATTTTTTTTTTAGCCGGCCTGTTCTCTTCTCGTTACTAGAGAGAACGGGAAGCACCGTCTGCAATGGCCCTTCTTCACAGCCCCACTTTTGAAACGATTGGCTCTCAACAGATTTTTTTTTTTTGGCCGGGTGCTCACCATCGGCCCATACCCAAAACGCACGCCGCCGAGTTACCGCGGGTTTGCGGGCTGCGGGTTTCGCATCGTCCGGGTTCAGCTTACCGACCACGGTGGGCTCCAGGTCGACGAAGACGGCGCGGGGCACGTACTTGGCGGCGTCGGTCTCGCTGAAAAAGGTGCTGAACGCGTCCTTGCGGTCGCTCTGCGGCCTCGCCGCGCCGCCGCCGCCGCCGCTGCTGCCCCCGCTGCCGGCGGCGACGGTGGCGGCGGCGGCCAGGGCGCTCTGCGACTGCTTGTCCTGCAGGGTGCCGTCCTGCATGATGCCGTGCTCCAGGCAGAAGAGCTCCCAGCACGCGTTGCCGATCTGCACGCCGGCCTGCCCGACGTGTACCGAGATGCACTCGCGCTGCGCACACATGCAGAATGTTGTTTAGTTTGCTTGTTCAATTGCTCGTGTGACGCAGTTGTGATTTTTGTTTTTGTTTTTCTTCCCGATTTTTTATTTGATTCGTTGCTGTTACTCACTTGGGTGACACATGTCACTCTTTTTAAACGAGACTCACTACCCCCCCCCCCCCCGCCCGCTGCCACCCGGTCTCTTGAGTTTTCACCGGGGTATAATCAAATAAACTCGTATGCACTGTAGGTATGTTGAACTTCTTAAGCACCACCGTACGTAGCCAGCCGTGCAAATCGGAGGTGCGGGGGGGGGAGGACGACAACTTGAACGCAGACACGGAGTCGTGTGCGTACGCGCAGTGTGAGGGGGTGTTCGCGGTGCCCAACTCGCAGAGCTGCACAGGGTCTACACCAGGGGTGGGGAACCTTTTTTTCTGCCAAAGGCCATTTGGATATTTTAAAAACGTCATTCGTGGGCCATACAAAATGATCAACTTAAAAATTTGCCTGTTATATTTGGTCAAACATTTAATTAACTCACCCCTAATGCGATGGCTGGAACTGCTTCTCTTTGGCGAGGCGTGCGATGATGTTAGCCGGTATTGACGATGTTAGCTGGTATTGATGATGTTAGCTGGTATTGATGATGTTAGCTGGTATTGATGATGTTAGCTGGTATTGATGATGTTAGCTGGTATTGATGATGTTAGCTGGTATTGATGATGTTTGCTGGTATTGATGATGTTAGCTGGTATTGATGATGTTAGCTGGTATTGATGATGTTAGCTGGTATTGATGATGTTAGCTGGTATTGATGATGTTAGCTGGTATTGATGATGTTAGCTGGTATTGATGATGTTAGCTGGTATTGATGATGTTAGTTGGTATTGATGATGTTGCTACTCGCAACTGCTTTTCCAGGTTTGCTCCTAGATTTATTGAATTTCGAGTCCCGCCTGCGGTTGCCTTGGCAGGGCCACACCAAATTATTTCGTGGGCCTCATACGGCCCGTGGGCCGGATGTTCCCCACCCCTGGTGTAAAGCCACGGTCGGCCGAGAGGTGGCTAGCTGGGGCAGCATGTGGCAGGGCGAGCGAGAGGGTGAGCGAGCGAGCATTCCTGCCTGGCTCGTACCACTGCTCCACCGAGCCAATAGAAACACACGCACGTATACAATTTACATATGGTTTATGATGTATTTTAAAGTAACATATTTTGCCTTTCCCCCCCAATTTGAGCAATAATTTTGAATGTTTTAAGGCACCATTTAATACTTGCTCTCAGAGGGGCCATGTGTATCATGGGCGGGAAATAAGGAGAAGCAACTGGGGAGAGAACGATGAACGAAAGAACATATAGAACTGGAGAGAGAGGCCAGTTCTAAATAGGTGGTGGGGTCTTCAGCCGGGACTTCATTCTCCTTCCGATATTAGGAAGCCACTGGAGCTATGTATTTTTCAATCTAGATTGAAAACTCATCTCTTTAGAACAGTTTTTGTGTGTTGAGTTTATTGCCCTTCCCCCGCACCTCCGATTAGCACGGTTGGCTATTACGTACGGTGCGAAAGAAGTTCAACATACATTCAACGACTGCAAATTCCTAACCTCCAAGGGCAGGGAATTGCAGAGCCACAGTGGCCATCACTCCAGGTTCGAGGCCTGGAGCGCGGTACGTTGGGTAGGGCACGATCGGTCGATGTCAGCATTCTTTTATCCCGATCGTGATATCATGACACGAAGCATCCATATGGAACTCATAAATAATAAAACACTCTCAGAGCCGTGTGGACCCTCTCGTTGTTACTCGGGAGAATCCAGTTTATCTCGCTCGCCGCTTGGCACGGAGGGTCACGGCTTGGCTCCAGCGGCCGCCCTGAATAATTCTGCGCGTGTATTAAATATCAAAACCATATACGCCGACTGCTTCAGTGGACGTTAAATATCCCGTGACGTCCTTTGCAAGATTTAGGCCAATGTACGCCGACGTCATTGGCTAAAATTAAAAAAAAATTACCCGCAAGTTACTCAATTGTAATTAGCATGGCATCCCCCCCTACTGTGAGCACTTGTTGGCAGGACCATCCTGAAAAAGAGTCGCGAGATTCAGTGACTATTTCCCGGATCAACAAGTGGAATAAGTAATACGAGATACCCTGGTACGCACCTCGTGACGCTGTATGGCTGAGTTACCAAATTGGAAGCTCTATCACCCTGTCGGGTTTATCTCAATGGTGCAGTACTTATTACATTTAAACCATTATAAAGCTCCTGTATACATACAGAGTGGCCCAAAAATTCAGGACACATAAGGTTAGTATATTTATCTTGACAACTCACATCGGGTTATTTAATTTACATTAATAAATGTTACAGTTGACTTGGATTAACATTAATGCATGCATGAATTATCTTTTGAAATAAATGTAGGAAATATATTTTAAGATCACAGGTGTAATCAATGAATATTAATCGATTATTGTTTCGTCTCAATTTAAGCAGGGTTCTTGGTCGAGTTTTATCAAAGACGAATTTGGGGTGGCCTGAACAGGAAAAAGAAAAATATAGATATTAATGATAATCGATACAAAATGTTACTTAAAGAATAAACGATTAACATTTTGTAATGCCAGTATTAAAATGAATTATACAACCCTATATGTCCTAACTTTTAGGCCACCCTGTATACTTTTGGAGGGGGCATATTATTAGTCTGAGAGCCTGGGCGACAGCACCTTGTTGTGCCTTCCCCTGCACCTACGATGAGCACGGTTGGCTACGTACGGTGCTAAATAAGTTCCAGCATACGTGCGAATCGGAGTTGCTGGTGGGGGGGGGGGAGTAAAACAAACTAAACACAAGAAGCAGTTCTAAAGAAACTAGTTTGCAAATGTAGATTTGAAAAATCTAGAAGGAGTTCTAAGAAAAAATGAGTTTTCAATCTAGATTTGATCAATCTAGATACACACGTACACACACCCAAGACAGTCAATGCTATAGCTGCCACTGCCGCCACCCTTGTCGCTGCCACCAATGTGGCAGTGACGGGGTTGAGCGGCGCGAGCAGGTGTGTGCGCGCGGGCGTGTGCGGCAAAGAGAGGGCCACGTTCGTCACCAGAAGCCTATTTGTGTCCCACGCGTCACCGTGTACCCAGAAGCTCCAGCTACCCCCCCCCCCCGCCTCTTCCCTTCAACGCAGTGTGCCGGATGAAGCTAGTGCGGGACCTGTAGCATATGTTATAAAGGGGCCCTAAAAAAAACACATACGTAATAAAAACATACGTTTTTTTATATTCTTGGTTCTTTTGGTAAAGTCACGTAGAAGGGAAACAATAGAATAAAAATATAAAACAATAATATTATCACGTCGTTTCGACTGCAACACAAGCAATCATCATTAGGTGTGAAAACCACAGCAAGAAAATTTGAAAAAAGTGTCGTGTTTTTTTCTTAACGTTAGCACCACGGAGAGCGATTTGGCAGTTATTCAGATGGACGAGTCCATCTATGTTCGGAAAAGAGGAGGGGGGAGACGAAGAGAATGGAATGCGGTCTGAAAGCCACCGTAAGCGTGAACAATCAATTAAGACCCGAAATGGTTTATCAAATCCTTCCAATTATTTCTAAGCCAGCATCCATCTTCTCGGTTTAAATTGTCTGTGTTTGTATATGTGGATAGCCTCATGAACGAATCTCTCATGGTAGCCAGATGGCTTGCAGAGAACCTCTGTCTTGGAGAAGTCAATGTCATGTGAGCCCACTGAATTATAACAGTGATCTGCTACGGCCGAGGTGTTGGTCCTACCGTGTTTTAGGTCTGCTTTGTGTTCATGGATGCGGTCCGAGGCATGTCGTTTGGTTTCTCCAATGTAACTACTACCACATAGGTGGCTAGCTATCCACATATACAAACACAGAGACAATTTCAACCGAGATAGATTCTGCCTTAGCAATCATTGGAAGGATTTGATAAACCATTTCTGGTCTAAATTGATTGTTCACGCTTACGGTGGCTTTCAGACCGCATTCCATTCTCTTCGTCTCCCTCCTCCTCTTTTCCGAACATAGATGGACTCGTCCATCTGAATAACTGCCAAATCGCTCTCCGTGGTGCTAACGTTAAGAAAAAAAACGCCACTTTTTTCAAATTTTCTTGCTGTGGTTTTCACACCTAATGATGATTGCTTGTGTTGCAGTCAAAACGACGTGAGAATTTTATTGTTTTATATTTTTATTATTTTATTGTTTCCCTTCTATGTGACTTTACCGAAAGAACCAAGAATATGAATCCCTACAGTCACGAAAGCTTTAAATCAAAATACATGTTTTTACTTGCATAGTAAAGTAATTGTTTTTTTGCATTTGCTATATAGCCAAAAAATACGACAAATCGCTAACCTTAAACACCCAGTCGTTCGTTAAAGTTGAAGGCGGTATAGTACTATAGTAATAGAGCAAGTGCAGAATCACTGAACCGGAATTGATAGCTTGAAAACATTTAGCGTGGGGCCCTTGAAAGTGCGGGGCCCGTAGAATATGTAGCTACTTTTGCTACTAGGATAACCCGGCACTGCTTCAACGAGAGAGGAACTTCACAACCCGGGGGGGTCTTTTATATAGACGTAGTGACGTGGAATGGGTCACTACGTCGCATAGCGCTGGTTCCTGGCAGAGAAGGGGATCTGCAGTTGCAGCAGCCCTGTCTGCCAGCAGGTCATGTGATAAACCAGAGAGAGATGTAGGGGAAAAGTACAGAGGGGGCACGTGAGGTAAGCCCGGGAAACCGCCAGTAGGTTCTAGAAGGGGGGCGTGGCCGGGGCGGAGCGAGGCCACACTGGGAGGATAAAAGGGGACCCTGAGCGAAGCCTCGGGGCTGTTGCTTGGAGTGGGATCCTGTCGTGCTGCTGAAGTCTTCGTCGTCTACGTCTTCACCTTCTCGGCGTCATCAGTCAGGCAGTCTGCCAGCTGTCCTGACTGAGAGTTGTAGTTACCTCTTGTGAGCTGTGAAGG